ACGATGCCCACTCAACGAGGCTTGCGACTCAACCTCTGGGACCAGCCACCCGCCTAACGCCTCCAATAGCAATGCCGACTCCGCAGCTGCTCCTCCTCCATAGACTAGCTCGCTTTGTATTTTTATTCCTACAGATTTTCAGCTTTGTATTTTGTATAAACTTTAGTGATCTTTTCATAATGGAAATGTTTTGTTCGACTTCGCCTCTATCTTCGATAATGTTTGTGATCATTTGATTTGGTACACTTTCATAACTCTTCAACGGGGTAATTGGAATGAATTTTAATGTATGATCAGCATGCCTTCCACATGTTAGTTTGTGACCATCTGTGTGCTATTAATTAACCTTCGTCCTACTCCAACTTTGAACCATAAATTTAACAAAATTTGTATAACTGCATTTAAACGATCACACATATACCATCAATCACCCAGCCTCATGGCCTTGAACATGATCGATTTTATGTTTTGAATACATGCCCACCTTCAGAGGTGGTCAAAGCATGCGACCATCCAACCTCATGGCCTTAATCATGATGGGTTTTATGTTTTGACCACATGCCCACCTTCAAAGGTGGTCGAAGCATGCGACCATCCAGCCTCATGGCCTTAATCATGATGGGTTTTATGTTTTGAACACATGCCCACCTTCAGAGGTGGTCGAAACATGCGACCATCCACCCTCATGGTTTTAATCATGATGGGTTTTATGTTTTGAACACATGCCCACCTTCAGAAGTGGTCGAAGTATGCAACCATCCAGCCTCATGGCCTTACTCATGATGGGTCTTATGTTTTGAAAACATGCCCACCTTCAGAGGTGGTCGAAGCATGCGACCATCCAGCCTCATGGCCTTAATCATGATGGGTTTTATGTTTTGAACACATGCCCACCTTCAGAGGTGGTCGAAGCATGCGACCATCCAGCCTCATGGCCTTAATCATGATGGGTTTTATGCCCTGTTGGGTTTCTTCTTTCCTACTTATGCTTTTGCACTCGTCCCCTGGGCTCGAAAGGTTACTTGTAGCTCCACTGATTTTGCATGCGTTCGTGTCCTCATGTCCCTCCACATGGTCCTAGGATCTCGGTCGTGATGGATTTGGCCTTCACCCTTGCCCACTCGCGAGGAATGTTCCAAACAGGAGGCCACCCAGACCGAGGGCGTGAGTAGTCGACCAACATGCCGACCCCAAGGGATGTTCCAAACAAGCGACCACCCAGCCCGAGGGCCTTAGTCATGGTGGGTTTGGGTCTTCACACTTGTCCACCCGCGAGGAATGTTCCAAATAGGAGGCCACCCAGCCCGAGGGCGTGAGTAACCGACCAACCTGCCCACCCCAGGGGATGTTCCAAACAAGCGACCACCCAGCCCGAGGGCCTTAGTCATGGTGGGTTTGGGTCTTCACACTTGCCCACCCGCGAGGAATGTTCCAAACAGGAGACCACCCAGCCCGAGGGCGTAGGTAATCGACCAACCTGCCCACCCCAAGGGATTTTCCAAACAAGCGACCACCCAACCCGAGGGCCTTATTCATGGTGGGTTTAGGTCTTCACACTTGCCCACCCGCGAGGAATGTTCCAAACAAGAGGCCACCCAGCCCGACGGCGTGAGTAATCGACCAACCTGCCCACCCCAAGAGATGTTCAAAGCAAGCCACTTCCAAACCAAACCATATCATACATCCTGTCATCCAAATCATACCAATGTTCCGAGCATAAGAAAGTGCGCAATAAAGCAAATAATACCGAAAGACAACTGAATTCCATTAAGAAAGTGCACAATAGATCGAGTTACATCTTTGCTCAAACCTCCAAAATCTTGTGAAAAAAGCAAAAATTTTACACATAATATTTTTATAATTAGCTATATTACATGACCATGCAAGTGATCGTCCTTCTGCATCCTTTAGAGAGTATGCTCCTCCTGCATGCACTTTCTCGACCAGGTATGGTCCTTCCCAATTTGGTTCCAGCTTCCCCACGTGTTTGAGCACATCCACGCGCTTACAAACCAAGTCACCCACTTGGAATCTGTGGACTTTCACCTTCGTGTCATGAGCTACTCGCATCCTTTGTTTGTACGCTTCCATCCTGATCGCTGCCCTTCCGCGCAACTCCTCAATAGTATCTAAAGCCGCCGTCATGAGATCTTCATTTTTCTCTGGGTCATATGTGCTCGACCTTTGCGATGATAGCTCGACCTCGACTGCAGCAGTGCTTCCATTCCATAGACTAAACTGAAGGCGGTTTCTCCTGTTGTCGACCTCGGGGTTGTGCGGTATGCCCAAAGTGCTGAAGTTAATTCGTCGACCCACGCCCCCGAGGCCTTTTCCAGCCTTGTTTTTAGCCCATTCAGTATAATTCGGTTGGTCACCTCGACCTGGCCATTGGCTTGCAGATGAGCGACAGAGGCAAAGTGTTGCTCGATCTTCATATCCTCACACCATGCTCAAATCCTCTTGTCGTTGAATTGAGTTCCATTATCGGATATCAACACTTTGGGCACGCCAAACCCGCAACAAATATTGTTATATAAGAAATTGATGACTTTCTCCTCCGTGATCTTTGCCAAGGGCTCAGCCTCGACCCATTTTGTGAAATAATCTACCGCCACAATCAAGAATTTCCTCTACCCCGTCCCCTGCGGCATCGGCCCCACCAGGTCGATTCCCCACTGAGCGAATGGTATAGGGGCACTCATTGTTGTCATGGCTTCTGCAGGTTGATGAATCAATGGGCCATGCTTCTGGCATTGCAAACACTTTTTCACCATAACCCTGGCGTCCTCTTTCATCGTCGGCCAGAAATACCCTGCCCTCAAAATTTTTGCGACCAAGGCCCCCGACTTGCTATGGTCGCTACAGCATCCTTCGTGAACCTCTCTCAATACGTATCGACCCTCTTCTCTGGTCACACATTGCAAATGCGGTTCAACATCCAACCGCTTGTAAAGAATACCTTCATGCTCGAAGAATCTCCTTATTGCCTTTATCGCCCCCTCCTTTAACTCCTTCAAGATTGGGGCCCTCCAATCCTCAACCTCCTCAATCTCAACCACTTCCACATCGACCACACTTTTCTCCAGATACAATAGAGTCACACTTGTGCTTTTGCAATCCACCAGACTTTGAGCAATCTTTGATAACAGGTCTGCTCGACCATTCTCCCCTCGAGGGATCTGTATTAGCTTGAATGAATCGAACACCTCTTTCAACTTCTTCATCTTGTCCACATATTTCTGCATTATGTCCTCCTTAACTTCGAATCCCTCCTGAAACTGCCCCACCACCAATTGCGAATCAGAATGCACTGGCACCTTTCGGGCTCCCCCCACCATAGCTAATTGCAAACCTTTGATCATTGCGTCATACTCAACTTCATTATTGGACACCCTGAATCCCATCTTGGCTGCAAACTCTAGATAATCGCCCTTAGGAGAAACAAGAACAATCCCCAATCCTGCTCCACTTCTTGCCACAGATCCATCCACGAACAACTGCCATAGCCGTCCGGATTCCTCCTCAATTTTCGCGCCCTCCTGGATAAAATCCGCCAACACCTGCACCTTAATAGCCCTTCTCGGCTCATATATTAGCGAGTACTAACTCAGTTCGACCGCCCATTTCACCAATCGACCAGACACCGAGGGCTGCTCGACGTCTCTCCCAGCGGCATATTCGTCCTCACCCTCACTTTATGATTTAAGAAATAAGGTCTCAGTTTTCGAGCAGTTACAACTACCGTCAGAGCACACCTCTCAATCTTCGAGTACCTCATCTTTGCTCCTTGCATCACCCCACTCACATAATAGATAGGAAATTGTGTCACCCCCTCTTCTCGTAAAAACACTGAACTCACTGCCCTCTCTTCAATAGAAATATATAGGACCAAATCTTCTCCCTACACCGGTTTAGCCAATAAGAGAAGGTTAGCTAGCACTCCCTGCAACTCCTCGAATGCACGCTGAGCTTCGTCTATCCACTGAAACTTCGCACTCTTCTTCAGTGTTTTAAATAATGGGCCACTCTTCTATGCCACTTTGAACATAAAACGGCTCAGCCCCGCAATTCGACCAGACAAAATCTGCACCTGCTTAACACTCGCTGGTGATTTCATCTCTATTACTGCCCGCACTTTCTCCGGATTCACCTCGATACCTCTCTTGGTCACCAAGTAACCCAAGAATTTCCCCGATCTCACCCCAAACGAGCACTTAGTTGGATTCAACTTCATCCCATACCACTTCAAAGTCAAGAATGTTTCCTTCACGTCCCGCACATGATCCATCTACTCCTTACTCTTTACCAACATATCATCCACATAGACCTCCATATTGCTCCCTAATTGCTCCTTGAAAATTTTATCCACAAATCTTTGATACGTGGCACCTGTATTCTTCAGGCCGAACGGCATCACCATGTAATAATAAGTTCATCGACGCGTCACGAAGCTCACCCTCTTCCTGTCTTCTCTCGCCAAAGGAATTTGGCGGTATCCCTGCGAGGCATCCATCAGGCTCAACAACTCATACCCAGCAGTTGAATCGACCAGCTGGTCGATCCTGGGCAGCGGGTACAGATCCTTCGGGCACGCTTTGTTTAGGTCCCGGAAATCTATGCACATTCTCTACTTCCCTTCGGCTTTGGACACCATTACTGTATTTGATAGCCATTCTGGGTATTGAATTTACTTAATATGCCCGGCTCCCAACAACTTCTCGACCTCCTGTTCAATAATTTTGTCCATCTTCGATCCATGGTGTCTTCTCTTTTGCTTCACCGGCCTCACACTAAGGTCGATGTTTAAGCAATGCTCGATCACCTCTGCACTTATCCCCGTCAATTCCTCTGCCGTGTAGGCAAATATATCGGTAAACTCTCACAAAACTGATCAGCTTCAACCTGATTGGTTCATCTAACTCTTTCCCGATCCTGAACTACTTCTCCTCATATCCCTCGACCATCAAGATCTCCTCAACCTCCCCTCCTGGTTGGATAACTACCTTCTCTTTACCCTTCTCTATCCTCAACCTATCCTCGTTTGACCTCGACCCACCTAGTTGAGCGACTTCTTCTTCTTTCGGCTTGGCCTTCCTTCTTGCCAATTGCTTGTTATTGCTCACGGTTGTCTGATAGAATCTCCTCGAGGTAGGCTGATCCCCTGCGATCTCACCAACGTTTTCGCCCACCGGATACTTGATCGTCATGTGGTACATGGATACGACCGCCTGGAATGCATTCAAGATCGTCCTCCCCATAATGATATTGTATGATGATTCTGCGTCTACGACCACAAATCTTACCATCCGCACCTTTCTCGTGACCCCTGACCCCAATGCAACCAGCAAACTGATCTCGCCCATCGGCATTACTTCGCCTCTATTAAAACCGTACAGGGTCGTGGCCACTGGCTTTAGCTCCATGCTCAGCTCTTTGTTAATCTGCACAAAACAGACATAAAACATCACGTCTGCCGAACTCTCAGTATCAATAAACACCCTCTTCACATCAAAACCCGCAACCTCTGCGGTAATCACCAAAGCATCATTGTGTGGTAAGACCACTCCTTCAGCATCCTCCGCTTTAAAACTTATCACTGGCATGTGACCTGTGATTCCGACCTCCTCTCTCTTTTTTTTCATAGCTCGAGCATGTCCTTTCCTAGCATTATTTGAGTCACCATTCGTTGGCCCACCTAAAATCATATAAATCGTTCCTCTTTTCGTGAGAGTTTCGCCTCCTTGACCTCCTTTCTCTCCATCTCTCCTGAATCTCTTCTCTCGACCATCTCTATCGCCCCCCTCCTCATCTCTATCACTTCTCTCCTTCGAATCCTCCCGACATCTTCTTCTTCCTTTCCCCTTCACCCTATCATGGTATACAAACTCCTTCAAGTGTCCCGCCCGAATCAACCTTTCAATCTCATCCTTCAAACGCCTACAATTCTCTGTGGTGTGGCCATAGTCCCGATGGAAACGACAATAAATGTCCGACCTAGGTCGAGTCGGGCCTGTAAACCTCGTCTTCGGCCACGTCACATCCTCTCTCGGCATCTTCTGCTCCATCGCCTCGAGCACTTCTGTCATATCTTTCCTCAAGGGTGTGAAATTGTGGTACCTCTGTCTCTCGAACAACAACGACCTCCCTTGCCACCTGTCATCCCTCATCGTTTTCTTTGAATCTCGCCCCTATCTTCTAGGCGATGCTCTCTTCGGCTCACTCCGCCTGGGCAAACTTCTCCTTGGTGACCTTTTCCTCGGCAGGCTCTTATCCTTCTTTGGCTCTGATCGAGCAACTCCCTCCAATTTTGCAAACTCCACTTCCATCTCTTCCAAGTTAATATACTTCCTGCACGGCTTCAAGACGTCCTCATATGATCGAGCAGGGGTCTTAGCCAGCGGGGTTCGGCAAGGCCCCGCTCGAAGACTACTTATCAGCCCTCCTGCCTTCACCTCATCCGACGCTGAGTGCACCTCCAAGCACGTTTGATTATATCGAGCCACATACTTCTTCAACGACTCATTCTCCCCTTGCTTCATCGCCATCAAGGTCAAATAAGTCTTCTCATGAGCCAGCACGCTCGAGTACTGATTGGTGAGTTTACTGGCGAAATCCCCAAAGTCCGCGATCGACTCAGGCGACAACTTATGAAACCAATCAAGCGCTCTCATACGCAAGGTCGATAAAAACGCCCTGCAACACACAGAATCATAATATCCATGCAACGCAACCATATTTTCAAAAGTCCTCACATGCCTCGACGGGTCAGATGACCCGTCATACACCAAGTTAGTCTCCCTGAAATTATTTAGCAAAGGAGCCACAAGAATTTCTCTCGAGAAAGGATGTCCTCGAGCTCTCCTCTCTGGCCTCCCTTCAACCTTGTCGTGCAACTGGCGCAACTGCTTCGCCATCCTCTCCATCGCACAATCCCTTACTCCTCCTCCATCTCCATAGCTAGAAACATTCTCATCCTGATTTTTCACCACCGTGGTCAGCGCGGTCGTGCCGTGAGACGTGTGGCTTGTGATTTGTTGCACCACCTACGCCGCCGCAGCTGCCACCATCCTCTGCATCTCCTCCCTCGTCATCGCCACCATCTGTTCACCGGGGGCTTGTACACCTGCCTGCGATGGCGCTCCTCATTGCACCACCGCTCCTCCTGGTTGTGCCACCACTAGGTTTTGAGGCGGCGGCGGCATCGCCGCTGCAGCTGCTGCGCGAGTCTCCTGTGCACGACTGGAGCTGGCGTCTCCTCCGGGGACCGTCGTCGACGCTCCAACGCCTTGAAGGATGGGTGCAGGAGTGACCAGCGTCTGCGAAGGGCCAGAAAAACTCGGAGGAGGGCCTTTCCCGATCGGCCTGGTCGTCGTCCAAGCATCATCGAACGTCGACTGCAAGTTGGTTCTGGGAATTCCGTCCGCCATAGCTAAGCTTCAAACACAACTTTTTAAACAAAAGTCTCACAGACGGCGCCAATAATGCAAGTGTGAGCGTCCTGGCCTGATTTAGGATAGATCGAACCTCGCCTTTGCCGGTAGAATGCTGGAATACTGCAAATAACTCTCACACCGGGGGTTGTGTCCAGTGAAGAGCTTCCGATGCTTAAGTCAGTATGTGTATGAGTATACTAGAGTGGAATAATGGAAAAATCGTGTCAACGAAGAAAGGCTCACCCCCTTTATATAGGAGTGAGATACATGACCTAAGACTGCCCGGATTTGATGAGCTGGCTGCCTAAGCTGCTCGTCCGTACCCTGACACA